CCGATGCCATCCCAGGTGCCGACTACGTGCACTATCACCACATACGAGCTAACTGCATACCGTCTAGAGCGAGATGCTTCCGAGGTCGTGATGGGCGCGATAATCGCTGTCGTGCCGGTTGTCCCGAAACCGAGACGCCGGCTCACTGCGTGCAACGCTGCTTCAGAACGCACGGAGGGAAAATCCTGCGGCATGACGACCTATGCCGTCAAGTTGGTGGCTATTTACAGCAGAAGGGATGGCGCGTCGATGCGGAACAAGCGTATTCGACGTCTGCCGGCCGGAGGCGGCCCGACCTGACCATCGCTAAGGGTGGTGAGGCAGTGGTCGTAGACGCGCAGGTAGTGTCTAGCAAAACCGCGTTGGAGATGTCCCACGAGCGTAAGGTGGAAAAGTACCGGTCATGTAATGATCTGGCAGCCGCTGTGGCGGAGCGCACAGGAGTACCACGAAATAATGTTCGTTTTACCGCCATTACTATTTCGTGGCAAGGTGTCTGGAGCTCGCGAAGCGAGTCTGAGTTGCGGGGGCTGGGTTTAACGTCCGCCCAGCTCCGAACGTTGACGACTCGGGTCTTGTGGGGCTCATGGCTGGAAACGTTTTAACGCAATGACATCGCGTTATAACGAGAGAAGACGGAACGTGGCCTCATCTAGTGGTGCATGATGGATGGCGCGTAGAGTTGGGGGCCTCCGCATCATTCGCGCGAGTTTGAATGATTGCGTGAATGGTCGAGGTGAAATACGAGCTGCCTTTAGCTAGCTCCGACCTTCACGATCCAGGGTGTTGACTGCGAACACCAACAGTAAACAGCTCTGCAATATCGCTGTCGGTGGCGACTTGGCGACTGTGATTTTGTAGCAGTCGTCGCGCACCGTAGGCGAAACAGCCAAATGCCTCGTCATCTAATTAGTGACGCGCCATCGCCACCCTCCCCTGACCCCTTTCCAGGCCCTTCTCGTCGGCCGCCCGCTGGGCCACGACGCCGCCCAACACCCGCTGCCCCTGTCCCTGCTCCCCGCAAGCCCCGCAATTCCCATGCCCACACTGTGATCGTGCGTTCACCACGAAGACCGGACTCGGCCTCCATCGCCGACGTGCACACGAGGCCATCGTCAACGAGGAGGTTAACGTCGAGAGGGTTAACCGCCAATGGAGCGACGAAGAGAAGCGCATGATGGCGAGGGAGAAGGCGCTTGCCGCGAATCGAGGCGTTAGGTTTATGAATCAACATCTGTTAACCGTCGTCCCGAATCGCACCCTTGATGCCATCAAGGGGATGCGTAAGAACGGCGGTTACCAGCGCCTCGTCGCGACGGCACTGGAGGATCTGGCAGCCGCATCATCGAGCGAGAGCTCGTTTCTCTCGGCCGGTGGCTCCAGTCCTCCCGTCTCCCCTCGACCCATCGCCATCTCTCCCCACGGGTCGCCTGGCTCGCCTCCGCTTTCTCCATCTTCTCCCGGCTGGGGTGATGCGTACGGCAGTTTTGCCGGTGCTATACGCGCGCTCATCCCGGTTGTGGAGGCCATCCAGGGATGGAAGTCCCATATCCTGATCCAGATCGGATCAGGAATTCTGGATGGCCAGCGGAGGACCTGGGCCCGTGGGTATTGAGTGTGTTCCCTCCGACGCTTCCTCGTGTGCGACCGCCCGTACGAAACCGTGTCGTCAATCCGGATAGAAAAGCGCGCCGCCGAGCGGAGTATGCGCGCGTCCAGCGCCTCTTCCGTTCGAGCATGTCGCGCGCGGCCAAGGAGATTCTGGATGGTGCCACTGAGGCGGACGTGGTTCCCGGTGTGCGGCAGATGGCCGCGCACTGGGGCCCGTTCGTAGCGCAGGAGTCCGCTCCTGTCGCACCGGCTCCGCGTCTTCCACCGAAAGCGGAGCTTAGTGGCACCTGGTCTCCAATCTCCTGTGAGGAGGCGGCAGCCATCAACCTGCCCCTCAACTCGGCCCCCGGATTAGACGGCATCGGCGTACGGATATGGAGAGCGGTACCAGCTTCCATCAAAGCTCTCCTCTTCAACATCGTGCTGCAATACGGAGGTTTCCCAGCATCGATGCTGGTAAGTCGGACGGTTTTCATCCCGAAGAGGGGGGAGTGCTCCCTGCCGGGGGATTTCCGTGTAATAGCGAACCTTCCGCTCGTGGGCGTCCGATAAGGGAGTCGCTCCGCTGACGACCTGTGCGTCCACCACAACGGCCTTGGGGCCACGCAGGCAAAGCAAGTCAGGCTTGCGTTTGCCCTCGGTCGTGACGTACGACGGTTCTTCTCGTACGGTCCAGCCCACGTTCCTCAGTCCTGACGCTAGGACTCTGCACACTGCGTTGTGCCTGAGGACGCGGCCACCATGGGTGCGGAAACACCCCTGGATGACGTGCGCGGCTGTCTCTGTTGAATTACAGCCTGCACGACATCCGGTGGCGTACTGCTCCCGCCTCACCCCCCTAGACGTACGTATACGCGTCGGGAGGGTATTGGCGAGAACATGCACGTACTGGACATAATCACGACCGGGAATGGCGTGGCTACCGTGATCCACCCACCAGGAGGACAGGTTGGACCCCGGACACTCCCGCAATTTGTATCCGTCGACTGACTGATGCAGTCGACGGGACCACCACACGTCCCGCCGGTGTTTGGAGGCCAAGCACACCCCATTGCGGGTCAGGGCCCGCTGGGCCTATTCTCCCCGGCGCTCCGCCCAGGTGTAGTGGGCGATTGCCCCAACCTGCGGGGCTGTCGAGGATTCCAGGCTGCGCAGACGACTAAGCAGCAAACCTGGAACCGTGGTGGCAAGAGCGGGAATGCCGAGACCGCCACTCGAAACTGGTGAGTGGAAAAAGCTTGTCGGAACATCGTGCGGAAGACGAAGCCATCTGCGAACCGCTGCGCGGGTTGTTACGTCGAGAGCTCTCAATTTTCCAAGTGTGGCCCTACCCAGGACCAGCGAGTGGTAGAGGCGAGGAAGAAGAAAACAGCGGACGATCTTTAGCCGTTGCTGCGGCTTCAGAGGTGCTCTGCTCAGCCGGCTCAGATATATGGATATATCCGAGCCGACTTTCTTCGGTCCTGCCGGCCGGAAATCGACCTCGAGGTACCGCCATTCGGCATTCGTATCCAGCTGCGTGAGGAATGTTTCATCCCGCAGGCGGAATTCCGGGGCCGTCAGGATTTTAATTTTCTTTTCCCGGCCAAAAGGAACGAGAGAAAGAACAAAACACTTCTTTGCTTAAAAAAGAGGCCCCGTCTCCCTCGCTGTGTCCTCCACCACCCTGATGCTGGTCTGGAGACCCCACTTGGTGGCAGCAAAGAAGAGAACATCGTCAGCATATGCTAGGCTGTTTATGCGATGTTCTCCCATTTGGTAACCGACGTCGGCAGGTATGGATCTCATGATCACATCTACCACCAGGCAAAACAGCACTGGTGATAAAGGATCCCTCTGCCTGACGCTTCTGCCAATACCAGAGAGCTCTGACCTGTCACCGCGGACTTCAAATATCGTGCCGCTGCGCGCATAACTATGCGCGATATAGTCTATTAGGCCGTGAGGCACGCCCAGGCCAGCCAAGGCGTTGGTGATAGCACCATGGCTGACGCTGTCGAAGGTCTTCGCGAAGTCCAGCGAGGCAACGTGCATCTCGCGACGACGGGACCTGGCGTCCATTAAGAGGGACGCCAGGACGGCTACATTGTCGCCGCACCCGTCATCAAAGCACCGCTGCCTTAGATCGACTAGCTTGGACTCGCGAAGCCTTTGGGCAAAGATCTTATGTAAGTGCCTCACGACCACGGAGGTGATGGAGATCGAACGGAAATCCCCCGGCAGGGAGCACTCCCCCCTCTTTGGGATGAAAAACCGTCCGACTCACCAGCATCGATGCTGGGAAATCTCCGTATTGCAGCACGATGTTGAAGAGGAGAGCTTTGATGGAAGCTGGTACCGCTCTCCAAATCCGTACGCCGATGCCGTCTAATCCGGGGGCCGAGTTGAGGGGCAGGTTAATGGCTGCCGCCTCCTCACAGGAGATTGGAGACCAGGTGTCACTAAGCTCCGCTTTCGGTGGAAGACGCGGAGCCGGTGCGACAGGAGCGGACTCCTGCGCTACGAACGGGCCCCAGTGCGCGGCCATCTGCCGCACACCGGGAACCACGTCCGCCTCAGTGGCACCATCCAGAATCTCCTTGGCCGCGCGCGACTGCTCGAACGGAAAGGCGCTGGACGCGCGCATACTCCGCTCAACGGCGCGTTTCTATCCGGATTGACGACACGGTTCGTACGGGCGGTCGCACACGAGGAAGCGTCGGAGGGAACACACTCAATACCCACGGGCCCAGGTCCTCCGCGGCCATCCAGAATTCCTGATCCGATCTGGATCAGATATGGGACTTCCATCCCTGGATGGCCTCCACAACCGGGATGAGCGCGCGTATAGCACCGGCAAAACTGCCGTACGCATCACCCCAGCCGGGAGAAGATGGAGAAAGCGGAGGCGAGCCAGGCGACCCGTAGGGAGAGATGGCGTTTGTCGAGGGGAGACGGGAGGACTCGAGCCACCGGCAAGAGAAACGAGCTCTCCTCGATGATGCGGCTGCCAGATCCTCCAGTGCCGTCGCGACGGGCGCTGGAAACCGCCGTTCTTACGCATCCCTTGATGGCATCAAGGGTGCGATTCGGACGACGAACAGATGTTGATTATAAACCTAACGCCTTTCGCGGAAGCGCCTTCTTCTCGCAACATGAGCTTCAAAATTCGCGCTTCCTTGCGGTATAACCCTGTAACGTTAGGCTCCTCGTTGAGACAACCAGGAGGAGTATCTATGGAGCCGAGTCCGGTATTCTGGTGAAGGCACGACTGACTTAGTGTGGGCTTGGGAATTTCCGGTGCTTCCGGAGAAGCAGTGGACATGGGCAGCCGAGTGTTTTGCGGCCATTAACTCAAGGGAGGCCGAGAGAATGGTGTGGAAACGCTGAAGGATTGAAGCCATGGCGCGTCACCAATTGATGTGAGGTATTTGGATGTTTGGCCTCGGTGCGTCGACATTGCACGGTATGACAGTTGCCGAGTCGATTACCTGATGCGATATAGTAGTCCTGTTTCGATGGATGTTGGCGTAACCATGCCAACGCGATCGTGGATCCGTCCAACAATGGATCGGACAATGAATAATATTTAATGACTTAATTACCCACTTAACGAGTCGACTCAATAAAACAACGGCGTTGAGCTCGAGCCGCGGAATGCTAACAGTCTTGACGGGAGCCACCTTCGACTTCGCAACGATCAAGCTAACACGGTATTCCGAAAGAGAATGGAAAACGCGCAAGTATACGACCGCAGCGTACGCGCGATTTGAAGCGTCGGCGAATCCATGTATTTCTAACGCGAGATTATCAGGGCTCTGACCCGTCCACCGAGGAATTCTAACGGATTCTAATTGCGGGAACTCGGAAGCGAAAGCATTCCACCGTTGACTCAATTCGTTCGGAAGCGGAGCATCCCAGTCGCAATGTAAAAGCCATAGCTCTTGCAGAATGATTTTTGCGTTTATTACAACCGGCGCAGCCCATCCGAGGGGGTCATACAAGCTCGCGATGCACGACAGGATTGAACGCTTAGTTAACGCGGTAGGAAAATTAAATTTCACAGTAAGGCGGAAGGAGTCTTCCGTAGGGAGCCATGATAATCCGAGTATTTTCAACGTTTCGTCCTTTAGGATAAGGTGATCGGTAACGTCCGATTGATCGCTGGATAAATCGTCAAGAAGCTCGCTACAGTTTGAAGCCCATTTACGAAGTGAAAAACCTCCGCGCCTCATTAGCTCAGCGAGCTGAGTTCGCGTATTTATTAACGAATCGATATCGTTTGCTCCGAACAATGCGTCGTCCACGTAAATGGAATCATTGACGATCGGTACCGCGGCAGGAAACTTTGCACCTTCATCAAGCGCGAGCTGTCGAAGCACGCGCATCGAAAGATAAGGTGCCGATGCTAAACCATACGTCACTGTAAGAAGGCGAAAATGAGTAAGCGGAGCGTCATCCGTCGGACGCCACAGGATTCTTTGGTAATCGACGTCCCGCGGATGTACGCGTATTTGTCGAAACATCTTGGCGATGTCTGCCGTATAAACCAAGCGCCATGCACGCCAACGCAATAAGACGGCAGGGAGATCCTGCTGCAACTTTGGCCCGATGAGCAAATGGTCGTTAAGTGACGTGCCATTCCGGGTTTTACACGACGCGTTAAATACGACTCGAAGCTTGGTGGTGCAACTATCCTCTCTTATTACTGGATGATGGGGAATATAAATCGGTATATTCTCAGTGGGTTCGGACTCGCCAACGCGAGTCATATGTCCAAGGGCCTCGTATTCTGTAAGAAAGTCTCTGTATAGCGAACAGAGATCGGATTTTGAATTCAATTTATTTTCCAGACGACCGTACAATGTACGCGCTATGGAGAGAGATTCCCCGATATCGATCGGCAAAGCATTTTTGAAAAAATCTCACGACATAACGACCGTCAGGATCACGACTGTGCGTTTGAGCGAAATGAGATTCGCATTTTTCTTCCTCCTCCGTGAGGGAAGTTGGCGTGGGAATCTCTTTGTCCTCCCAGAATTTCTGGAGGAGAGAGTCCACATCCAGCGCGGATACGCAATTCAAAACAGTTACTTCTTGTGAAGTAGTTTCTTTACTTCCGGTCGGTCCAGAGATTATCCAACCGAACGAGGTCGATTGGGCAGTGGGCGCTCCATAGGGGCCCTGTCTCAGGTCGCGCAATAAGAGCGAACCGTACACGTCCGCGCCGATCAGCATGTGAATCTGATGTCGACTAGATGGATCCGGATATGCTAGTGAAAGGCCCTGTAAATGAGGCCATGATTCTATAGGCCGAATTCGCGACGTGGCGTACGAAGTTATTCGCGGGAATACATACGCAGTGACCGGAAAAACAGGATTCAATTTTTCGCACGGCGTCAAATTTAGCGAAACTCTCGATCGCGCAGAACCGGCATATTTCTCCCCGAAACCTTTTATTTGAAGATCGGTCCTCTGTCGTTTAGTGCGAAGCGTTTGACTCAATGCTTCGGAAATAAAGCTAAAATTAGACCCTTGATCTAATAAAGCGCGGACCTTAAAACATCTTCCTTCAGAAGTGTGTATGTCAACCCACGCGGTCGCGAGAAGAACGGTGGGCATCGTGGTATTCTAAGGTTTGAGAGTTTGCACGCTGGCGACGGCGGCGTCGCCGACTACGACAGTCTTACTCGTGGTAGTAGACGCATTAACGCTCGAATTCGATAAACGGGAATTTTCCGCTGTGTCCTTATTTTGATCACTCTCATTGTGTAACAATGTGTTATGAGAGCGTTGACAATGAGCGCATCGAATTTTGCTCGAGCATTTCGGCGTGAAATGTCCCGCTCGCAAACAATTGAAGCAGACCCGATTCTGTCGCGCGATGGCATGCCGCTATGTCGCGTTTTTCCGACGAAATTCCTCGCACTTCATTACCGAATGACTGCCGGAACAGCAAATGCACTTAATCGCGGAAAGATTATGAACGGAGGACTGCGTTTTGTCACTCTTAGAATTGACGATTACTTTAGGATTGTCGGAGAAGTCCGACAGACCTCGTATTCGAAGCGTGAGGAATTCATGAATATCCTTGTACGAAGGAAGCTCGCGACTTGACGAAATTTTTAAATTCCATTCGCTCCTTGTTTTCGAACTAAATTTTTGAGAGATGACGTAGACGAGAATGTCATCCCACTCGCGTACCGGCCGCTTTAGATTAGTGAGAGCCGCTAGAGATGCGGACACGGTATCTCTCAACTTTCGCATTTCCGCGACGTTTTCCGCCTTCATTGTCGGTAGGCACATGAAGGCGTGAATGTGAGTATGGATCAACGTAAGTTGATCATCATACTCGTCAATCAACAACTGCCAGACGGACTCATAATTAGCGTCGGAAATCTTTAAATTACTAATAATCGAGGCAGCGTCACTGATGACGCTCGTTTTGAGGTAATGAAATTTCTGCGTGTTCGAGAGAGAATCATTACTCGCGACAAGAGACTCGAAAGTATTTTTAAAACTCTCCCATTCGGAGAACTTGCCCGAAAACTTCGGAAGTGAGATCCGTGGCAACTGAAAATTGTGATTATGAATGCCCTCGCGAATTGAAGAATCAGTACTGTGTTCTAACAACGGAGATTGATTAATTGAGAATCTTAATTTCGACTTATCGTATCGCGAAGGAGGTCGGCCGTGTCGTGGTAGATCTCCTCGGCGCTCAGGAAGTTTCCATTCAGGAAATACGAGACAGTCTTCTGCTCCTCCGAAGTTGTGGCTTGCAGCAGCTTGACGTGTAGCCCTCGACAGGAAGTCCAAAGCGTTTCCAGCGTTGCAAGACGCCTCTGCGTCTTTGCTAATGTAACATTAGCTTTCGCTAATTTCTTGAAGTTAACGAGAACTCGCTTTATCGAGTCGATTGTTTCAACTTGCGAGATGAGCAAATTTCTTAATTCTGCCATTATTTCTTCGTTAATGAGCTATTAATAGTGACTTGATCGAAGGTACCGGGCTCGTGAGCACGGTGCCGACGGCAACGAATGCGCGACGACTTTTGGTCGAATCGCGACACTGTTATGTCGCTTAAGAATACACGGGATATGCCGGGGAGCGTTACCGCTGCGCCGACGGCAACCTTTCCGCGGATGTTTTCTTATCGACAAGCGGATTTCTCCGGTGCCTGAAGAATTAACGCCGTGACGTTCAATTGCCACGCCGACGGCGTCGAACTCGCGACGATTCCCTTTTAATCGTCGCGTCCAGTCTCGATTAGCACAGTGTATGATGTTCCGGGCGTGTTATCGACGCCGACGGCAACACCTTCGCGGAATACTTCACTTCGTTCCGCGAAACACGATGTAATTTTGACTTTGAGTTTACGAATTGTTTCCACCACCAGACCCCCGCGTTTGAACCTTGTAAATGAACTCGCGAATAAGGCGCGAAGCTCAACATTTAGATTCCCGCGGGAATGTTCGTTAAAGTTAACTCCACGACGGGAAAATAACTCCACTTGTCGCTAACTGAACTCCCTTTTTAACCGGGGAAGACAACCGATTCGGAATCACGAGCTTTGCATGAACTCGGCGCGTGACACGCGCGCGGCTAATCGTGATTCGCTGGCCGGTTGACCTGTCGATGTCCGCTCGAGGTGCCAAACAAAGTCGATTGTTGGTCGAGCCTTGAGTCCCTGGCTTCGACTCGGAACCAGAACAATATATATATATATATTTTTTTTCTCGACAGCTTTGTTCCAAGTTTTAAACAGTGATAAATATTATTATTTTGAATGTGATAATTATTAATCAGAGAAATTCTAATAAAATTCTTTTCATACCATATTCTCTTACAATTACCATAACTTTTAGGGTAAATTCTAAGAGAAAATTCTCTCAGTGTTTTGATTAATTATTAAAAATTACTTGTAAAAACGCGCGGCGCGCACAGCACACGTTGCTCGATGCGGACGGCAATAGTTTACACGGCAAAGACACGACAATCATAATCACAATCTAAGAGAATTTTTTCTTAGAATTTACCTAGAAAATTATGGTAATCGTAGGACATTATGATGTGTGTATAAGATTTAACGTTGTAGGATGCCGGGTTAACGTGATCAAATGATTGTACGCGTTTTGAAACGGTTTAAATTAGTTTATTCACTTTCTACAAGTTCGTCGCGTACCGAGACTTATGTTTCTCGGCGCTCGCTCTCTCGAGGACTGACTCGAGGGCTGCGCGAATTTCGGAGCTCGCGTAGGGCGGCAGCCGATCGGGGTCCTCGATTGGACCATCAGAAAATCAGGCGATGTACACACGCCAATTAGCGGCGAGTGTACACGTTGGTTTCACGTGTTTCCTTGGCGTAAACACTAAGGAATTTAACAAAAAAACATTCTAGAAAATTCGATCGTCCTCGAGGATTCGATCCGAAGAACGAATCTTCAACATACCGCCCGCCTCGTATGCGAACGAATGCGAAATAAACTTAAACGAAGCGGGAGCGAATCGTCGAGGAAGATGATTACAAAAAACATACAGGTGAAGACGACTCGCACTGAGAAAGTCGTTTCGAAGATTACATAACTCTTACAAGTTAGCGGCTTCATCCGTTGCGGACGCGTTAGAGTTATCACGTATTGGCAGTCGGCATAATTGCGCAATAGGTCGTTTCAATGTGGACCGTGCGGTGCGTATGGTCACAACTCGAACGAGTCCATCAGATCCGGGATGGATTTGCTGTACTCGGGCAAGCTCCCATTTGCTCGGAGGGAACACGGGACTTTTAACTAATACTAATTCGCTTATTGCGAAGTTAGGAGACTGCTTGCACCACCTGTTTCGCTGTTGAAGCGAATGTAAATAATCCTGTGACCAGGCACGCCACACGGTTTCCTGCATGGCACGGATTAGTTGCCATCGCGAGAGCCTACGCGGGTCGATCGCGAGTACCGATTCCTCCGGAACGGCTACGAGGGGCCGTCCAATCAGAAAGTGACCCGGGGTAAGCGCCGACAAGTCACCCGGGTCGTCCCTAAGCGGAGCGATTGGTCGCGAGTTAAGGCACGCTTCTATTTTACATAGAAGCGTCGCGAGTTCAGCCCTCGAAAGTGTGTGGGAACCAACAGCGCGCCTCAGATGCGTTTTAAGGCTCTTGACTCCGGCCTCCCAAAGGCCGCCGAAATGTGGAGCGGCGGAGGGAACACTTGGGCTCCCGCAAAAGCGGCGCCTTCCCACGATACAAAGAGGAGCTCATATGCCCACCCCGCCCCTGGTGCAACATTGCAGCCGAGACAAGAGGCATGGCCACCTCGCCAGTAGATAGGGACAGTGGGAATCTCGTTAATCCATTCATGCGCGTCACTAATTAGATGACGAGGCATTTGGCTAAACCTGCGCCCGCGTAGCGGGCGGACTTCCCGGAGTAGGTCTCCAGTAACCGTGTCGGATCATTCACCCGCTTAGATGAGTGTAAATGGGTAAAACATTATTAAATTAGATAAATAAATAAATAAGCAAATAAATTATTATTATAAGTTAATACAGCAATAAACGTGCCAGGGCTCGGCTCGCCGCGGTGGCGGGAATCACTTCCGCTTCTCCCACGTTGCAAGGCCGGCCAACTCCGATGCCCCAGGTTAGCATCTTTGTTATAAGTTAAATTTTAAATTAGTTTGTACTGTGAGCACATTGAGACAGGTTATTTATCCATGAATGCATTTGCGATCTCGATTGAGCTTCTTAGAGCTATAAGGGACATGGTTAGCCAGTCCTCTTTCTTTATTTTTAGCTGCTTTAATTCCAATACTGTTTCAGTTGGTAAAGCTCCTCTTGAGCCAACGACAATAGGCACTACTCTCGAGGTAGGGACGTTAAAGTTGTCCTTTAATTTATTAGAGATGTCTTTGTATTTATCCACCTTCTCTCTGGCTGCTTCTGCTAGAAAGTTCCTGTTCTCGTACCGGACCGTAACGTCGAGCACGAGAGCCCGTTCCTCATTCAAAATGACGAGGTCGGGTTTGAATCTTTCGCCATGAAGTTCTATAGTGGGTTCCACTATAACTCTGTTGTTCACAGAGAGACGATCTTTCAGGAGGTTTACTATCTCATTATGACGCTTTATGCGTTTTGTCTTGGTTGCACTACATTGACCAAGTATATGACCTAATGTCTCGTCTGCCTCGCCACAAGCCCGGCAGACGGTGTCTACATTATCGTGCGCTCTTCGCATAGTCATGCGTGTAGGATAAGTGTTGGTTCGCATTTTAATCGCGTCTATAAGACGCGAGGAGCGTAACAGATTGCTACGAGATAGCCATGCATTACTGAGTGGTTCTTGGCCAAAGTCTTGGACCCCTTGTCCTTGCGCAATTAATTGCGCCCACTCCTGCCTGTAATTGTTCTTAATTTGTCTCTTCCTTTCCTCTATCTGCTTGATGGACGCTGGCCAAGATAGTCGCAGCGCTGCAGCGTAAGACTTGTGCACTTTTTGCGATGCTTCATTACAGATAACTTTTCGGACGAGTATATCGTCAGATGCGGCCGCTTTCGCGGCGTTCCTGAGTGCTGCCAGATAGACCATGGGAAGTGTCTCGAGAAGACCAAGTCCCCCTTCCTTCATAGGC